TACAAAAAATTAAAAATAAATTGCATTTGAAAATTTATGTAATTAAAAAATACCTAAATATTTTTTAAATAATCTTGAAAGTTTATTTCATGCACCCAGGTGATCACTTGAAATTGGAATGAAATCATTGATATTTTCTTTGACCTGTATTGAACATGCTAAATTGTGTTCTACTTTAGCAAAAGGAGTAACAATGGAAGGCTAAAATTTTGATTCCTGACTATATCAGTAAAATTCATATTTACAACTCAGTCATAGGAGATACATGTCTAGCTTCTTGCTATAATCATTGAAGATGTGCAGCCATTTCTCTCATGTGATTCATCTAGTCCGAAAGCAAATGCCTAAATTACATCAAATGAGTCATGCCTTAAAGGTACCTATTTTTCCCTGTTAATTAAAGGAACCTTTACATGAGTATTGAGATCTCTATCATGGACATTTTATGTGCCATAAGATGAATATTGCTCTGAATCTCTACTTGGATTTTTACCTGAGAAAATACAATAGAAATTACTGATGTAATTTATATTAAAATTGTGATGCACAAAAATAAAAAAAAAAAAATTTTAAAAGTCCCAGTATCAAAATGCCTGAGATGAAACCTGTTTCCCCTAGAAACCTGTTTCTTACTTGAGGAAACGTATTGAAAGTCTCACTATGTTCTGAGAAAGTAATTGTAGCACACCATCGTATACCAACACATTTTATCATTAACAGCCACTGGATGTACCAGACTGCTAAATGCTGCCTATTCCTTAGGAACATCATGTATCATATGTCTGTTTTTTTCAGTCCTGCAACTATGTCTCTCATATTTCTAAGGCATTTGTACCACAAAAGAGAACAACTTTTACCATGTATTTTTAAGTCCACAATCCTAGTTATGAATAGAAAGAACAAAGTAAATAACCTCATTTTTCTGACATGTCAGTATACAGAAGAGGTCTAGAATAATCCCATATAAAACAGATTTTCCAATTTGCATTTTAAATTTCTGTGTTTTATCCAAGACCTGGGTTTTTTTATTCAGGAAAGATAAATCCCATTCAAATAGCACAGACCTGATTTTATAAGGGCTGTGCTCTTTACAGCTATGCCTACATATTTGAACCCATTTGCAATTCCTAAGGATAAATTTTGTATATGATGATAATTTGTATATGATTATAATTTGTAAACTTCACAGCAAGATATTAAATATTAATTTTATGTTCAGCAGTCAAACCAAGCAGTTGCTGAAAATGTAGCTCAGCATGTCTTGGGGTTCAGCTAATATACATTTGAGGCCTAGAAAACTTTATAAACATTTTTCTTGTGTTCTCTTAAAAAATAATCATGTATATGGAAGGAAATATGATTATGCTGTCTTATGTGCTGAAAACAGTCACACATGCAGAATCACCAACTCCTGACTGTATTCCTGAAATTAATTTAAAGTTCAAATTAGTTTGAATATGGTCTTACAGCTGTAAAAAGACATGTTATCTAAACATATTTTTAAGTGTCCTTGATATTTCTGTGCATCATCTTAGTAAAGTTTTGCACATATCCACAGAAAGGTAATAATATGTATTTTAGGGAATGGCGAGAAAAAATAAAAAGTTCACCAGAGAGTTTAAATTATATCAGTAACAGAATTTAATACACTTACCAATACTGCTCTGGAGTATAGAAGGAACATGACAGAACTTTATAGGTTTGAAGTTTAAAACCAGATTGTTGTCAGAATATTGTATTCAATTGCTTAAAAAAATAAGATTACACAAAAAGACACATAGAGGAAAAAAATTAATGACATATGAAAAATTAGAAAACTCTCTCTAAATGAGCAGGGTAAAAATCATCCTTTCATAAATTTAAGATAGGTGAAAGCCAGAATAATAATACTACATGACAGGAAGAAACCTAGCAGCAGTCTCCCCAGCCCTAAATTGTGTGATTCACTGACAAAAACATATATTAGATTTCCCATCAAGCAGCATATATTGTGATATTACTTACAAGATGGCATTTTAGAGTCATTGTAATAAAGGAAAATTCCACTAGGTGGATCTGGTGCTCTTCTAACAGGGATTGAGAATGTTAGTGCACAGTAATTCCATGCTACGACTTTTTTTGTCTTGATTGTTTTCTTAACTCTTTGTAAGTATGTCCAAATCCAAACACTGAGTTATATTTTGGATGTTAGCACTAATATTATGTTTCTTGATTAAGGATAAAATACCCATGGTTAAATAAGACCAAGGTATGAGACTTTAAAAGTGTGTAATTCCATTGCTGAGTAGGTAGTATTTATCTTACTGCTAGTATTTCTCTAAACTGCCAGAGCCATGCTTTATTTCAGCCCTCAAAATTACCTTTAATTTTTAAACTTGTACTGTAATCACAATGGACTTTGAATTACATTTTTTCTGGGAAGTTTCATCAGTCTAAGTAGAATTTTAAATTTGTAAATTTAATACATTTGAAACATTTTTATCACCTAAAATGGAATGTGACAATGGAACATGAGCAACCAGGGGAACTTTTTTTTTATAGGTCATTGCTTAGGTGAGGATGTTGATTTAAACATCTCTCTAGAGCTCTGCTATGGCCTGGTGCAGACATTCATACTTTTATTAAAATCAGTTTATACTTACCAACTTTTTCTCTCGGATGGCCTGTAACCTCAGGCATGCAACTTGTATTCTTATTTAAAGGCTGCAAAAGCTGTTTGAGACCCAAAGGCCTTATTGCCCAAACACTTGTATCTCCCAGGTATGTCAGTCTGGTCTAGTAAAAGGTGGTTTTCATTACTACAAATCCTACCCTTTTGAGAAGGTTTAGGGTGGGTTGGCCTACAAAATGTTTTTCTGTCTTTTTTTCCTTGCTATTTCTGGTGTATTTTTGCAAACAACGTTCATGTTACTGCTAGGTAACTACTACAAATATTCCCACAAACTTCAGGATTTAGTTTGTTTCAGCTGTGTTTGCATTTTTCTAATATACTAGTAAATGAGTTTTGGAATATTACAGAGAATAATATAGAAATTAAAACATAACAGATAAGATAAAGTCTCAGTCTGTACTCCCAAAAACCAATTCTGATATTTTTTAAACTCATTCACTACATGTGGTCTTATTTCTGGTGGGCATGTGGGTTCATATGCAGCGAATATAAACCTATTGACAGTAGTCCTGCTGAGACTCTAGAAATTCTTGTCAGACCCACAGAGGTTCACAGTGCAACACAGACTTCCATCAGGCCAGAAATTATAGCTTACTACTGATAATTATGATTTATCTAGTATGTTTTCTTTTTCTTTATCTCACTGTTAAGAAAGCTTTTAAAATCAGGCTGTGCATTTAAATATAAAGGTGCAGAGCATCTATTAATCAGCTAGTTTCATCTAATGCCATGCCACACATCCTATGCAGGGAACTGATTTGGGGCCCCACTTTGCCAGAATAATCTTACTTCTTTTCATGGTAGGTGTAGAATGGAAATCTACTTCAGTCATTGAACAAGACTAGAAGTAGAAGTATTTTCCTGCATACAGGGATCTCAAAAGATCACAACAGCCAAAAAACATTCATCAAAAAGAGTAAACCAGTCTGAAAGGTGCTATGGCATGTTTTAAAAACAATTATTTGGCAGGCAGAGATAGAAAGCTCCATCTTTCTATAATCAAAAAAAAAAAAGTGGTACACTTTTTCTAAAGCTCAAAACCATTCTTTCATCTTGCCATAGCCAACCCTCCATATTAGAACTATTACAAAGGTGTGATGTAAATGCCTTCTAAGCTCTAGGAAGCTTGCTTAAAAATACCAGGTAAATAGATCAAATGTGCAATTGATGGTGATTCATGTGTTGAAATACCCTTATGACCTTTGTTATTCTAGAAAAATGTAAGACCAGCTAGAACTAGATATTGCAATTCAGAAATTCTTTGTACTCAAATAAAATTAAGCATGCAATGTGTGCAGAAATGCGTGAATTTGCAAAATTTATTTCTGCCAGAATTTCTTAGTGAAGTTGAAGCAGACATGCCTTTCAACTACAAAAAAATCTACTCAGTCTTTATGATTAAACCCCAGAATCTCATGAGTTAACAATTAGTAGAAGTTTGCTTTTCAATTCTTTTGACTGTTGTTGCTTGACATAACCAGTTCTCATTGTAACCAATACTAAGGCATCTGTGAGTGTGAAGAACTAACAAAGAGCATTATTTTTAACTTTTGTTTCTAAGCAATGTGATAGCAATACTGGTGCTGCAACAACACTCCTCTGCCTCAGTTCTACCCACAAGGCCTACCCTAAACAAAGAAGGACTACATACTTTGAGAATTCCATTATTAATGATCTACAAAATTCACATAGTTATATGAAAACAAAATAATCTTCTGCCAAGATTTGGACATTTCAAACCTGTCTTACTGCTCAAAATAAAAAACCCAGGGATCAGTCATTTTAGTATGAAAAGCTTTTTCATATGGTTCATAATGTGCATTGCCAGAATTGACCTTGAACTGAGAAGCCTGTAAGTATTTTTATTTTCTCTCAGTATTTCAAAAGAATATTTCTATTATGTTCAAATATTTTTTTGCTTGTGAACTTTATTTCTAGAGTAACCTCTTATGGTATGTTGTTTCTCAGGAGAACACATAAAATGTCACAGACTAGTCTAGCAGATTATAGATTGCCCTGGTGGTTCTTGACACACCAAGACAATTTTGGAAACTACTAGAAACAGAAATATTTGAAGAACAGTTTTTAATTAGAATTCTGATTTCACACATATTTTTCCAAGCCATTATCGTATTCATTCCCATGTGGACCCCCCAGGATACTACCACTTTAATTCAGTGCAAGTGTCTGTTATTGCTGGTGGATTTGTACTTGCTGCAATAGTAAGCAAGCAGCAGACATAACCTCTCTGGCTTATGCTACATTATCAAATTAGTTGTGACTTCAGAGCAATGAATTCCATAGTTATGTCTATATTAGTAAATTAAACAGTGTTCAGGAAATGTGTCGAGACACTAGAGCACACATTCAGAAGGACCCAGGTGTCCTTTTGGCTTAGTAGTACTGAAGAAGTGCTTGAAAAAATGAAGTTGTTTTTTTTTTTGTTTGTTTCTTCCTCTATTTTTCTGTTCATTGCATTTTATCCTAGTATTCTGGAAAAGGCAGGAGAATCTGTGCCCTCAGTGTGATTTTTTACCCTGGTATCATAAAGTACATACATGAATTAAACCAGTTTAAAAATATCCTGTTATCTGCAATGACAAATGTCTATATTTAACTCCCTATCCTCTTTGTCTTAGTTACCAAAACCCATCTTCACTACTGTCTTGCTGTAACAACACTTTATATGAAATTCCAATGACTTGCATCTCAATGGGGAGTTTTAATTAGGGACAAAAGTTTTCCATTTCTGTCTTTCTCACAATATTGTCATACAAGTAGCAGATAAAAGGTTTAAATTTTAATGTGTACTCCAGCATACACCTTTGATTTTTATTCTAAGTACTATTTGGCAGCCTGCCCTTATTACTTGTGTTTTACTTTATTACTATACATAATTTTGAAAAACTGCTTTAAGAGTTGATACAAAGTCTGGGTGAGAATAATCTAGGCATTTGCTGTTATATATCTTCCGTTATTATCTTGTTTCCAACAACTTTGCTCTATTTGTCAGCTCTCTCACATTCTATGATACCCAGGTTTTTGGATTGCTTTTTAATTTAGACATCAGCTGTAAATTAAAGCCTGCTACTTCTTACATTGCTCACTCTGCAGACATTACTATCTTAACTTTGTAAAACTCCTCAGAGGAGGGATCGCCATATTATCTGGACAGTGTTTGGCACAGTGACTTTCTGACTCATAATCAGTTTGTCTATTCTAGAAGAAAAATTAGCTTATCCATATTTTATTATGAGTGATTTAAATTTTGTTTTTATTTGATCAGGTAGAAACCAAGCAAAACACAGCCTTCCAGCTGTCCTGCGTCAACAGGGTGGCTCTGTTTGCCTGCACTGCAGCGTGACAATGTGATTTCAGAGGTCTCATACATCTTGGCTTACCCCATGGAAGCCGCTTTATCCTTTAGAAATTAATTGTTCCACCTCGAATTTTATCTGAGGGAATAGCTGTTGAAACCTGTGGTACCACAGGTGTGGTGTTGTCAGTAGCTGTGCTACCCAGGTACATCAGCAAAGGTTGAGGCCACACATCTGGACAGCTGTTCCCTTGGTGCTTATGTATGTTTCAGCCTCTGACTTGCTTCCTGTGGGAATCTTTGTCTCAGAGTGGGGCAGGGATGGGAGCACGGTGGGGCACAGGGGGAGCCTGGTGCTGCACTGACTGTGCCACAGCGCTTCAGCAGTCAGCTGTGCCTGGCAGGTGGGGCTGTGTGGGCACTCAGCATCCTCCTGCCCACAGCCTCTTCCCTCTGACTGGCAGTGTCTGAGCCAGGAATGACTCAACTTTTCTGTAAGATACCGACAGAAGTCTTGAGCGCTATTATTTAAAACTGTAGTATTTCCAAGCTGAGCTAAGCGGATGTGTAGCACATGCCACAGAGCTTCGTCGTCTGTTTGATGGAGTCGCTTTGCAGAACACTTTATGTTTTACCACTGCTGCTGGAAAGGAATGGATTTTGAGAATAGACAGAGGAACAACAAGATTTAGGAAGGGTCCAGAAGCAAAGGATCCCACAAGACTGGGGGCTCCCCAGGGCAGCAGGACAGGACCTGGCAGCCAAGCCTCATCCCGTCACCCCAGCCAGGAACGGGGCAACTGTGGGGGACCAGGGCAGCCCCAGGGATCAGGCACCTTCCAGGAAAGGGAATGGGCTGTGCTGGGATCTCAGCCCACAAGGGCTGTCAGGATCAGGCAGGCTGTGTGGGGGCTGGGGTCATACATGGCCCAGGGTTGTTGTGCAGAGCTTCCCCATGGCGGAGTCTGGGGGCCTCCATGAGGCCATGGACAGCAGAGGGGATGTGCTCTGGGCCCCATCAGAAGTGTAGAGTAGCTGAATGCAACATGGCAATGGCATGAGCCTAATGACTCCTTCCTTCAGTTCTTAAAATTGTCCAGAATGTAACATCTTTGCTGTTTATGTAGTTTACAAGATATCACTACTTTTTTTATTGGAATTTGAGATTGTTTAGGTCTTTTGGCACACTCAGAGATTTGAATGTCGTAGTCTACTTGCTTATATCATAGAATCACAGAATGTTAAGGGGTAGGAATGGCCCTTAAAGATCATCTAGTCCCAACCCTTGCTGCCACAGGCAGGGACACCTTCCATTAGACCAAACTGCTCAAGGGTTTATCTAACCTGCCTTCAACATGGCCAGGGTTGCGGCATCCGCAACCTCCCTGGGTAACCCCCTCCAGTGTCTCACCACCCTCACAATAATTTCTTCCTAATATCTACTCTAAATTTCCTTTCTTTCAATTTGTACCTATTACTACTTATTCCTAATGAAGAGTTGCTCTCCAGCTTCTCTCTAGGCCCTGTTCAGGTATTGGAAGGTTGCTATAAGGTCTCCATCCAAGCTTCTGTTCTTCCTTATCCTTTATGTCAAATCTGGGTATAACAGAGACGCCTTTACTGAAGATCACTATTGCATAGGTGTAGCAGCTTGCCTTTGGAGAAACTCCTCAGGATATAGGATACAGGAACATTCTAAATAATTCTCTCAAAAATCATTTCTAGGATATCTGATTTGGCTTGTCATTCCTTTGTGTATGACAGTCCCTCTTTTTTAACTAAGTTGAATATGAAGCTTGGTGGTTTTGTTATTGTTTGGGTTGTTTTACCTCTACTTCTGTAAATTAATTTCAAACTTCCATAAGTTTCTAAAAATTAAGTTGATCAGACTATGAAGGCTGGTAGAAAGATGACACTTTCCATAAAATATCACATCCTTACTATTTAGTTCTTTTTCAATTGCAAATGCAAGAAAATAAGTTATGTTGGATGAAATGCTGTACTTATTATTAACAAAGAAGTATAGTAGTTATTGTTATATTTAAGTTCAGAAAAATGTAGATAGATTATTTGGTAATTCTATTATTTAAAATAAGCATATTAGTATCCCTGCTACTTTGTAGGCACTCTCCAAGGTTGTGGAAGGAAATAGGCAACCCCTCCCCCCCCAACCCATGGCTAATTATTACATGCTCAACTGTTGATTTATTCTGAAATTGTGCCTTTGACTACTACTGTTAAATGGTGACTGTATGATGGGGAATAAAATAGTGCTGATATCCAGATTCCATGTTACTGAGCTCTGTTCTATTGGAAAATTTTCTTTTTTTGTGTGGATAGTTATCTCTTCTGCAGAGGTTGGTGATGAGAGTAGTGTTCTCATCATAGCTGTGACTGCATGTTGAGTAATATGCCAGAAAACTTCTGACTTTTATGAGTCATCAAATCTGAGTGGTGTGGTGATCCTCTGGGCTGATTTGGAGGGTGGAACAGGAAGAATTTTAGAATGTTTGTGATCATTCTTGAAATGATCCAGTAGCTTATTTCTACTACATCAAATACATCATATAAGTTGAGCAAAGAAATGTTCTTACCCATTAAAAGAGGCAGGCCAAAGCCAGAGGAGTCAGAGTCTGTATGCTTTTTGAGGTTAAGTTTGGTTTTTGAGGATAATTGAGAAGGCGGAAGTTTCACCTAGAAAGATTTTAAAGCTACTTTTCTTATTTCTGAAGCAAAATGCTTCCAATCAGGTAAAGGTCATCTATCTCAGAGTTGCAGAGAAACTTCTAAATGTTAAAATGGATACAGACTCCAAGAAATGTTGTACTTTTTGATATTTCTGCAACTTTCATGCTGCTATCTGGTTTGTGGAAAGCCTCTGATTGACACTTTCAGTTATCATGTAGTATTTACAACCTCAAAACTTGAATTTTCTTGTTTTCTATTTTTAACTGCAGTAAGAACACTGACAAAATAGCAGAGCATGTGAGCTTTTTAAGGATTAGAAAAGCAGTTAAGTCCTGTGTATGAAGACAAAGTGTATCAGTTTTAGAAAGCCATCAAGGCTATTCTCTGCTGATGGACTTAGATAGGATAAGATAGGTTCTGGTAAAGTTAGAAACTATTTTAAAAATGATTTTTTGAGAGTAGTGCAGGCTGAGTTAGAGGCTGAGTTAGATTACAAACTGAACGTGGTTAGGGACTGTTGATGGTTTCTGAAATTAAGTGGCTTGAGCTGACTGACATCTATTCATCAAAAATCTCATTCTTACCTCCAAAAGAACAGATGATGATGTCTGTGAGAATGGTCCCTGGAGCAGGCTGTCCTGAGAACTATGCCACAGAGAGTGCTAATTTGCCACCTCAGAGTGAAGAGTATTAGTTAATTAACGTGTGTGATCAGCAGTGTGGTGCCTGGGTTCACTGCCTGCTCCATTCCACTGAGCAGTTTAGCCACACACAGGTATCCTTGCTGGAAAGAGCAGCTTTCTCTGCAGGCTTCAGGCTTGCTAATGGGCATTGCTCATTGATTCAAAGGCAAGTTGTGATTTGGTCTTGTTCAGTGGGTTTCTGCTTTCCTAGCCTTGCATTATAAATTGATGAAAGCCCTTCTGCTGGAGCACTGGCAGAACCTGGTGGCTGAAATGGAAGGAAAAGACCAGCTTATACCTTATTCTCTTTCATGCAGTCTTACTGCCATTTTATTATGAAATAAAGGCAACTTGTGCAACCTAGCCAAGTAATCCAGTTTTGTGTGCACTGTAAAAAATACCCTGGCACACAGTCACAAGTCTCGTTCTATAGGAATTTAAAGAAAAAATTATTTGAATATATATATATATATATATATATATATATATATAAACAGTAGCTAATCAAATCCACATCACCGATCTTTTACTCTTGGGTGCAATGGGTGAATTAGATTTGCAGCAGCCTGTATTTGGTTTTATGAGAACTATAATTCTTTATTTCCCTACTGCACAGAAAGGACTATTTTCCCAGAAGAGCTTAGAGAAAAATACCAGAAAAATATGAAGCTGCAGTCCCAGACTTCAGCTTTTGTTCAGACTCTGACCCAGTTCCATCTCCTGTGCTATAGCAGTAGTTCCAGAAGGATATGACTTTTCTTGCCTCTGGGTGGTTTTCAGCAAAGGTTGTTCCTGAGCCAGGAAGAAGCAAATGCTTACCTCTTGAGACTTAATTAATCAATTCTTATTACTTAGATGGGTTCTGCAACCTGTATTATCAGTATTTCTAAGTGGTGTTGGTTCTTTTTGACCAATAAACCTATTTACATGTCAGTAATTACTATATAAGGTGTTTTTTCAGAAACCTGCAACCAAGCAGGAGGTGCAGTGGCTCTTACATCTGGAGGATCATCTCATCTTTATTATTGCAAGCATTCCAGGCATCTTTCAGATGTTGGTCACAGCAACAAGGAGTGATGGGACCAAATGCTAAGCCATGTCTTTCTAAGTTTGGAAAGCAAAAGAATCTCTGTGGTAGGCTGATACAACTGCTTCTTCCTAAATGATTTGGAATAGATTGTGAAGTTTTTTGCATTTGCAGAGCCTACCATGTTATTGAACAGCACCAAAGAAAAATCTCCTGTATCATGAGGGGAGGGCAGGTATTACAGAAAGCATTCAAAATGGTGATCAAGAGAAAAAGCACTTCTGGAAGGGAAAGCACCTCTCTGGACCTGCAGGAGAGCTTACTATAAGTGAAACAGAGCTATCAAAAAGTGAAGCCACCAGACAAGGTATTTTGCTTTTTAATGTCACAGCTTTTTGGGTGTGTGTTTTTTGTGGGAATTGATATAATTAATTTTAGCAGACAGCATCCAGGACTTGATGTGTTGTTTCATTAATGTCTCTCTCTATGATTGCATATGTCAATCACAATATCCTTTATAGACCATTTCCTAGTTTTACATTTCGCTTTAAGAAGCTGATGGGTTTTAATATTCACTAGTGATGTAAGAACTATGCTAGCTCCCAGAATAAAGATGGTGTCTCCTTGTTACTGTAAAAGATAAATGCCTTGAAGAATGTGAGTATTTCAAAAAGAAATAGCAAACATTAAATCAATTTCCTAGAAAGCAAGTAGCTTACTTATTTATTTGTGGTCTATCAACTAGTAATGAATTGATCAACATGTTTAGATGATGGCACTGGAACTACTGCCTATTTAGTTTTCAATCTGTAAATACTTAGGTGGCCACCTCACATTATCAAGATTTTCTCCCCATGCTAGTTTATTAGGTTTGCCTTTTGTTTACTGAATTTACTAATACTGATAGCATAAGCTTCTTAGACCAAGAGGCCTTCCAAATCTGTAACTGATGCTAACCAGTGCAAACAGGATCTTCTGGATTAGGTTCAAACATGCAGGTTTGCATTATCTACTGCTGTAAGCAGATTTGGTCCTCTAAGTAGGAGCATTCCCATAAAGGTGATTTATCAATACGAAGGTTGAGGTCCCAATAGGATCTCAATTAGTGGCTTCAATGTCAATCTTTTATATGTTGCGTGTCTAAAACATGATGAGAAATGGAATACACAATAGCTCTGATAATCTGATCATACCTTTCTTCTTTTTTTTCTCTAGTGAGAAGACATTACATACAACAGAGGCCAGGAGAAAGCTCAGCTGCATAGCAACCTAGGTTTCAGAAGAACAGAAGAACAGAAGAATGAGGCAACATCTTCCTCCTTTTATGCAAGGAATCATGAAGATAGCCTGAATTGCAAAAGCCCAGGAGAATAAGAAAGGGGAAGAGAGTAAACAAAAATAGGATGTGAACACCTATGACTTTCCATAGAGTTTATATCCTCAGCATATCCAAACAGTACTGAAAAAAGGGGGATCAATAACAAAAAGAAAATAAAATACTGCAGAAAAAAGATAGAGAGAAAATAATAGCCTAAGATCACTTTTTTTTTTTTTTAAGAAATGAAAACATTTAGCCAAATTGTTGGTGTCCCTGGTCAAGTGCATTGTATATCAAACCTGAAGTAGTAGAGAAGCAGAAAACTTTTGTCCCATGTAAAATTGGTAGGACAAAGAAAAAAAAAAAAACAAATGTGGAAAAATATTTTTTTAAAACATTAATAACAGTCTCTTTTTTCTGCAACATGTGGTATTTCATGAGTATCCTGCTTCTGCTTTTTGAGACTAAAAAGCTCTGAGAGGAATCTGTACCCTCCAGAAGGCAAATTCCTCCAAGGTCCTATGAAACTTAGAAATAAAAATACAAGCATCAAACGACTTCATTCCTTCCTGCTGTCATACAAACATGGGTGTCTGTGTCTTAAGACATTAAAAATGCTGTATTATATTTATTTTTGCTTCTTAGAGAATGATACCCAGGTTTGTGTACACAGTGTGCTTTTTTGATGACATGCCAGTCTGAAGTGGCATATGCCTGCCTGTTGCCACACATCCAGCTTGGTGTGGCTGGCCTTTATTCAGAGAATTAAAGTAGGTCTTCCAAGATATCCTGAACCTTCAATTCTTGGTAACCTCATTCTGCTATGACTATAGGAAAGATAAGCACAGGTTCACTCTTTTTGTCTGAGTTATGTCAGGACTGTTACAAAGCACCAAGGGGGAATCACAGTTTTGCTGCTAGTGAGCAAAGAGTAGTGTTTCTCTGAAACCATTTCTTTATTTCTATAGGCTTACTGCTCTTCCTATTCTTCTTCTGTCTTCTATTGGAGAAGGAAGAGGGAATGAGAAGAAGAAACCTATTGGCAGCTTTTCATGTTATTGTTTATGTCCATTGTTGAATCATGATAATGTATTATGGAGCAACCCTGAATTTATAGAAGTAATTGGTTTTCACATTTCACAACAACTATCATCAATTTTCATAATTTAGTGCATTAATAAGTCATCATCTTTGGAATGCATTGCACCGTCCTCTCTGTCTCTCTTTACCTTTTCATTCAAAAAGGTTTCACCTGTATGAGATACCTGATACCATATCTCCTACTCTTCCTGCATTACTGTATCTCTCAGGCCATCTTCAAAGGCATCTACTTCAAATGCAAACGTGAATTTTAAAACTGAAGACAGTGTAGTAAAAAATTACTCAAATAAATCTGCTTTATTTTATTTAGCTACTGATTCAGCTGTTCCACTTTGCAACTGTTTGTGATTTGTGGCCTTGAGGGTGAGGCAGTCTCCCCACAGTTTCTTGGTTAGAGAAAGAAACTGTTCAAAAGCCCTACTGTGGGCTATTATCCCCAAAGTTCAAGTTGAAATCCTGACTTTCCAAACAACTTTCCTCTTTCCTGTGGAGCACATCTTGAATAGATTTCTTTTGGGGGAATTTGCAGCTCCTTCCCAAAGCACCATCACATTAGTAATTTGTTATTGATTAGGGAAATATGAGCGTATCTCCAATCTGAAGCTTGCTTTTCTCACTCAGGTTGTTTTCTTTGTTTCTAGCAACAACACAGCAGTAGGAAATTGTTTTAGTGGGGGTTAAGTGAGCTCTGCAGATCATTGTTTGACTGTTGATCTACAGCCATACTGTTGGGTTGATGGGGCATATCCACTTAGTCTTATGATTTAAGGTTTCATGCTAAATTAAAAGTTTTAGGGGTTGTAAGTAATTTTTATGCACAGTACCAAATTGAACAAACAAAATTTTTATTTTGCTATTTCATTATCTGTTTGCATAGAAGTGTGCAACCCTATGTTTACCCAAATATATTGATTATAGGCAAATAATCAATCTCTTTGGGGTTTTTTGATAAGAAATTGCCAGAAAGCTAAAGTAAAAATATTCTTAGTATAAACATATTGACATAAAATTAATTTTCTTCTGTCAGTACTGTAAGTCATCTAGCATGCTTCCAGTAGTTGTAACAATACTGAGCTCTTTCAGAAACAAGTGTAATAAAAATGAGAAATTAAGTAAAAATGACTGATTGTATTCTGTCATAGCTAAAACCAAATGTAAATAATGGCATTGTGAGCAAGGGTGAATGTTGGCTACTGTCAAAGAAACACAGATTATGGTGAGTTAGAAGGAACTGATAGTGTTCTTGCTTTAAAGCATTATTACTTTTATTTCACAAGTTTGATATCTGATATTGGTGAAACTAGAAGTGTCAAATAATTCCTGGGAAATAGTTGATTTAATTAGTTTTAGCTCTGTTTCTGCATGTGATTTTGTCATGAACGTGTTATAATTTTCTCAAATGTACTCATTAGAAAATTTATCTGAGTAAGTTTTAGTGTTTGTATTGTTCGCAAATACTTGAAATTCAACATCTAAGCTGTTTTAAAGAGCTTTGATTGGATATATGAGTCACATAGTATTGTTGTGTTCCAAGACTGGCTAAAAGAAACTTATACATTTTTATGACTAGTCACATTTCTAAGTTCAAAATTTTCTGTGTTCTTATTCTCTCTTTTGTTAACTGTTACTGCTATTTTACTCATTTGCCTGAATAGGCACACAAAAACTAGCCTCAAAATGAGTGTAAACACAGCCATAGCAGAGTCAGCATTTTTCCAAGTATTTCTGGAAATTCTGCTTATATAGATGTATACCTCATGAACTGGACATTTCAAATGTGCTTTGACATACTTCTTTTGAAGTAACTTTGTCATGGGAATATTTAGATCTTGCAAGCTGGGGGGGGGGGGGGGGGGGGGGGGGGGGAGGGAGGGGAGGAAAGCTCATTTGCAATTCTGAGGTGTTGTCTGCTGTAGCTAAGGAAAGGCGTTTAGTATCCCTTAGCGTCCAAGTTCATATCATCAGCACTGAACGCCAGCCCAAAATATCTGGATATATACTCATTTTTGCATTCACAGGTTTTTTACTCTGATACCACTTAAAGGAACTAGCCCTTAAACTAATACTAGACTCTAGGACAGGTTCAGGAGCTATAGGTATATCTGTTATTCTAAATCCTGTAATTAAATCAGAAGAGTATTTCTGACATGTGAAAAATTTAAGCTCTGAGGCACTGATACCCCAGGGCAGCTCTTCAGTTTTGCTGATACATCATGGTGTATTAAGCTGGTCACTTTTGGCCCAATCACCTAATTCACACACTCCATAATGGAATGAAATACTTTGTTAAAATTTGATAGGCCTGCGCTTTACCTCTAATAATTTGTGGAAGAGATGGAAATGAACAAAATCTATTGATTACATATGCCACACTTTTGTAGTGGTTAGTATAATTGAAAAAGCAAGTTATGCATAAGAAAATGTTCATTAGTATAGACCCATACTGCCAACACCATTAGAGTCATAATAACATTTAAAGTCATGTACTTTGACCATAACTAACTAAATTTATTAAAAATACTTCAGTGGGATTAAATCAAAATTCAGAATATTCTTAAATCCTCTGTAGACTTGAAACATGTAAGAATTTCAAATTGTCTGTCATTTCCACTATGGCTCTTCCTTCTCTATGGTAACTAAAATCAAGCATATGCTAGTGTTAAGAGAGGAAGCTACATGTATTTTACAGCAAGCTCTATGTGTGTCACAGAGATTATTCAACATAATCTAAGATCCTATAAATTTGCTACATCAGAAACATTCATTTATCTGTCTTAATTGCCAATGATCTCTTGCCACTCTTTTCAAGTAGCATTTTTAGGGCTACTGCTACCAGCAAGACATTTAGTAATATTGTGTCTTAAATAATATCAGTCGGATTTATTGAAGCTGGTATTTAAACTTTATTTTTGTTCACCACTGTAGTCTCAGGTAGAAATTAACACTGTGTTTCCAAATATATAGCAAGTACTGCTTTCAGTTTTCTTGTTTCAGGGAGTAATTACTTTTTGGAAGACTTACTCTGAAACTGCAAAAAGAGATCTGGGGGCAGAGCATGGCCAGAGTTTCCCCAGACTATTATTTCTCTCCTACTTGTATATCTTAACTGCCTTGTTTTTATTTCAAGTAGTTAGCAGATTCTCCATCTGACAACCTTACACAAAACTCTGTGAAGCTGTTCCCAGTACATAAATTATTATCTTGAATATCTAATAGACACAATTAAGTGCAGATTATTTTTCCAGAGCTATTACACCATTTACAACTGGTAATGCTCTGACAACAAATGCTATCTTTAGAACAAGATGAACCTTTATATTTTGCCTTTTATATAGATGTACTCAAAAAATCAGCAACACTGTCTAGCAGTCCAAAATGGTAATTATAGCTTTCTCTTTCTTAAATTATGTAAATTCCTTTAGCAAAATAAAGACAAGGATATCCCTTATGCTTTATGATGGCTTGTTCTTCTGCCTTTTTTTCACGCAGAGGGACAGCCATACCTTACATAGGATCCCAGCAGGAAAAACCCTATAAATTCCTGGAAGCCCTGCCATCTGTTGGAGCAGAGCAGAATGGGAGCTCTCAGATATATAGGAAGTTTTGGTCCAACACTTCTTCTACACTTTCTGTAAAGAACAGAAGATAACACACAGCCCTCCATTTGAATTTTGGGTAAGCCTCTTTAACATAATTCTCATAAAAAAGATGTTGCTGGCTTACCTGAGGCCCTCTGAGATCACCAGTTTGGGATCAGCATTATTTTATTATATGAATAGTAAAGATGTAGCAAAAACTTGCATCAAATGAATGCAGGCTTTTCAATTTTTTTTCCTATATGAGCTTCTTCTGAAAGAATAGCTAAGGATCACTGTTATTTATCAGTATACAAATATGGTAGCACAAAGGGAATATACAGGTTATTTCCACAGTGAGTTGCTTTGCAGTGATAGTATCCCACCGACAGTCCTTTAGTAAATAGAGCAGTTTTATCCAAAATTCCTGTTCTTCCACAAAAACATCCTGCTTCTTTTCTCCCTTCCTAAAAGCAAAGGTAGAGCAGATGGAAGAAGCAGAATTAAATGGCATAAAAGCATTTCCTGTGCAATCTCTTTCACTGTGCTTCTTTAAACAGATTATCATAGATACTGAGATAACCACTATTTTTCAGTCTACATAAAGACAGGAATAAGGCATATTTGTAACGAAGTATCATGGGGATTAAAAATAATCTTCTGGCAAACAGCACAGTGAAATAGGAGCAGAAAGGTCACGACAGACAGCATCTGGGTGGATTGTGACAAGAAAGAAATGGAGATGAATGTCTAGTCTTAGATTAAAGATTCTCAGAAGCGTCTTACAGTAATCATCGTTGCAAAGGTGATTAAAATAGCACACTTAGTCATGTTGTCTCCACTAATCTGGAGCTAGAACATTATTATACAGCACTTATTCACATATGTAGCACATGAAGGCAGAATTTTTAAATGGTACATCCCATTTGGCTTGTGAGTCAAGCTAAGATTATGGAACACCCATTTAATTGCCTCTGTAATGCCACAGCTGCAGTACGTGTATTTCTGCATTCAAATACCATAAGCTACTTTCCTAGCTGTTTTAGCTCTTTTTACCTTAATTCTCTTCCCTTCCCTGCTAAATCAGCTGCCCAGGACCTAGAGTAGAAAATGGCTTTCTGCCATCTTTTAGGGGAAGGTGCCTCCTGCACCCAGCTGGTCTGCAGTAAATCATAAATCTCCATTCCTTCTCAAAAGGGAAAAAGCTTCTGCATTCTGCCTGAAGAAGGCATTGCTGACATTTTAAACAGACCATCAGACACCAATCTTCCTAAATTATTTTCAACAGATTTTACATAACAGTTATTCTCTCTAATCTATCCGACCTTCTCTTATAATTCATGGAACTAATTCCCTTGATTCACATCAGATACATGATCTGAAAATTCCTGTGCGCAGCCTGCATGCTCAGACTTTAGACTACCATGCTGATGCATTAGTCCTAGTTTATCTTTTTTCACATCAGTTTTAGAAAAAGATACTTCATTTTTGATAGTTCCAGACCTGAGGGGATTCTGACCTGCTTGTTCTCTTTGTGACCCTGAATATTCCACAGCCTCTGAGAAATCTAAGAAAATAATTAAGTATTAAAAGGCATATTGTCCAAATGTCTCTAAGGTGAATAAATTATCCCACATGCACCTTTTTTTTATCCACTTTATGCTCATATTCTATTGTGTACAAGGAGACTGATTAAGAAAGACAAGACATTAACTTAACTGAAAATACTACCATTGTGAGTAACTTGTTTAGAATCTGAGGGTTGAGAATGTAAAACATCGCAAGACCATCTTATCTTGGATACTTTTAATTTGTGAACTAAAAATTTAGAAGACTAAAAGAAAATAATTGGCATTATTATTGCAAAAACATCTATAAAAATAGAAAAATAAGAAGAGTATGTCAGTTTTCCAAAACTGAATAAAACACAGTTTCTTGAATAATCAAGGTAATAGCTAAACACAGAATATAGCCTTAGAGGGAGCTAAAGTCCCTGAGGAAGACAGCTCTGTGCAGCCCTAACCTCTAGGGTATTTGCAGGAGACAGTAGTAACTTACCTAGTAAGAAGCAATATAGCTGCATTATTGCACTCTGCTTGCTTTAATTTGTTCTGCCCAGAAGTTGTGTGTGTTGGACAAGGCAAATCCCCTCCCTGTTGTGCCTGCGATGCTGCAAGTCACTGATGTACTCTGTGCTGAATTGTGCTGTCTCATCATAATGGAAAAAGTTTCTTCTCTGGTTAAAGTGTAACGTTAAGCAATTATAAAAGATCTTCTTTCTTCATACATTATTCTGAGTGGTATTACCTGTTTTTCATTTTAGTCTCCTTTTTTCCTTGCACAGAAGAAACTCTGGTATAGTGCCTGGCAAAATAATTTCTCAGGTGTCATAAATTCCTTCTGATACCCAGATTTTTCAAGATGGTCTTGCATAATTTCATTAATAAGGAACAGATGTACAGCTAAAAAAAACTAATTCTAAATTTAGATATATTTTTAATACATTTCAAGCCATCTTTTAATTGCTGTAGTGTGGAATATGAA